TTATTGTGAGTTCATTTTACTTGGAGTTTGTTGAGCTCTTTGGATATTTATATTCATGTCTTTTATCAAACTTGGGAAGTTATCAGCCACTATTTCTTCAGAGATTCTCTTGGCCCCTTTCCCTTATCTTTTCCTTCTGGGATATCCACAGTGTGTATATATTGGTTTGCTCATTGGTGTCCCACAGGTCCCATGTCCCTTAGGCTCTGTTCACTTCAGTCATTTTTATTTCTGTTCTTCAGACTAAATAATTTCCATTGTCTAACTTCAAATTCACTGATTCTGCCTTCTTCCTGCTCAAAACTGCCTTTAACTCCTCTAGTGAATTTTGCATTTTAGTTGTCTTTGGACTCCAGGTTTTCTTCTTGCTTTATTTTTAGGGTTTCTACCTCCTAATTTATATTTCTATTTTGTCCACACACTGTTTTCTTTACTTTTTGCATTTCTTCCTTTAATTCTTTGAGTATCCCTAAGGCAGATTTTTTTTTCATATTTTAATGAGGCCCCAGGGACATGGGTCTCTGGCAGGGGGCCCCTCTGAATACAGTGGAGTAGGCTGTGGAGAGGCCTGTTTTCAAGTTCTTCTTGGTCACAAATTATTGGTATGGCCGAACTTCTTCTTGTGGTTGTTGACAGCAGAGAGGTGCAGGCAAGCACAGCACTTGTAGCACATCATCTTCTGATAGGTGTATTCCTGGGGAGCTGGCAATGGAAAAGCTCAGTGATGCTACCCCATACGTGAGGCTCCATGTGCAGGGCGGACTATTTCTGGATAGTGTAGTCTGACAGAGTGTTTCGCTCCTCCAGATGTTTGTATGCAAACATCAGATCCTGTTGGTCAGGAGGGATGCACTCCTTGTCTTGGAGTTTGGCTTTGGCACTGTCAGTGGTATCACTAGGCTTAACCTGGAGAGTGATGGTCTTGCCCATGTGGGTACAAATACCTACATCTCTGCAGCTGCCACTCAGCTGCCTCTTGAAGCAAAGGAGACCTATGGAACCGGAAACTGCAGATTTGTCACCAAGCAGGCCTGCAAAAGATGTACATGCAGTTTCACTGACTATTTTAAAGTCTTTTGTCTAGTATGTATCTCCTTAGGTCTTTTTCAGGAATAATTTTTGTGGATTTGTTTTTTCCTTTGAATGGACCATACTTCCTGTTTCTTTGAATGCCTTGTAGTGTTTCGTTGAACTGGACATTTGAATCTAATAATAAGGTAACTCTGAATATCAAATTCTCACCATTTCCTAGGGTTTGTTTTTTTATGTTATTGTTTTTGTTTTTCATGAGTGAAGAGTGTCTGTATGCTGAGGATCAGCCTGACTGAGCCTTTTTCCTGGCATGCACACTTACTCTAATTGTCCCCATATATGCAGTTGTTTTTAAATGTCACAGTTTTTAATGTCTGTGTCCTGAAAGAGGACAAGTGAAAAATGAAGGATGGATCAATGATGGCTAGATCTGTCAATCCCCTGGAAGGATGCGTCTTGCAAGTTTGGGGGAGGTGTGACAACAATGGCTGCCAACTTCTCTGTCTACTTCTCTGTGATCAGAAACAACAGTCAGTTATAAGAACACACATTCCCAAGGAATTGGTCTTTTTTGCACACCCTGGATCCCCCAGGCTGCTTGTAAACTGCCCCAAGAATTCATACACAACTGTCTGCTGTGGGAGTGTGATGAGTAACTGCCGCTGTGCTGACAGCTGAAGTTGACCAATATGAGTGCAGTTTACCTGTCCAGGTCTTTCCTGAGAGCTGCAAGCGTACAGCAGAATCCAGAGTTCCCAAACAGTTACAGCAGGCTGATTCTAGCAGTGAAATTGTCTAGTTGGGGAGACAAATTTTTAGTGCTTCCTACCCTGCCATCATTCCAGAATTCTCTCCTAATACATTATAATATAGAATCAACGCATGAGCCTTGGGGGAAAAGTTAGCTGGAATCATGTACAGGCAGTTTTACTGACTACTTTTTAATTTGATCATGTATGAATTTCCAGTAAATAATTATAGTCTGCTAGGCACCTTGTGGAATACCAAAAGGTTAAGACACAGACCAGCGATTTTCAACTGGTGTGCCATGGCATACAGGTGTGCCACAAGAATTTTTAAAACATCTAGTATCTGACCAGTTAGTGAGGGGCACTGACCTATTTTCCCTTAGGTTGTCAAGTAAGAAAATGACAACAGTCAACACTACAATAGCCAGTGTGAGTGAATCAAAATTATACCTATTTTTTTAGATGGGCAAAAAATATATTTTTTGGTGTGCGGCAGTGTTAGTAATTAGCTTGTGTGTGCCATGAGATGAAAAAGGTTGAAAGTCGCTGACACAGACTATTCTCAAAGAAGTTTTAGCCTTATTGAGAAGCACAATATATACCGAGAGATGCCCAAGGAAAACAGTAAATGGGAAGTACCACAGAAATAGACTTATTCCTGATCATTATAAGGAGAGGCCAGAAGGAGGAGAGAGTTCTGTGAATTTCAGTCATCAGAGATTTCATCGAGTAGGGGTCTGTCCTATACCAGGAAGACACTGCCACCTGAAGAATATTCATAACACCAAAAACTTG